TAGCTTTTGTAGTTTCATCCCAGAGTTTCAGGGAGACGGCACGATTTCATGTGGTTCTAAGCCAGTAAAGCCAAGAGCTTGTTGCCCCTAGCTGCTTGTGTCTCCCAACCTTCGCATGGCCGGCTGTAGTCCCGGCGGCGTCTCCCAGCCTCAAAGCGCCCAACGCTTGCTTTTGCTGGTTTGTGCCAATCCTGGTTTGCTCCCCCATCTCCCCCCTCTTTGTGACATCCAGGTGGGACCCCCCCCCTTGAACCCTTTCCAGCCTAAACCCCCCTTGTTCTGACCCCAAGGTGGCCTCCAAGAAGAAGGAGCGGAAGCTCCTCTCGGACGACGACCTCTCCGAGCGGGACGCCACCGCCGACAACGCCCGCTTCTCGGACGAGGAAGTCGCCTCGCTCAACATCACTGACGAGATGAAGAGGATGTTCAATCAGCTGTGAGTCTTCGGGGAACGGGAGACCGGGATGGGGTTCTCGGGCAGGAGTGCTGCCAAGCTCCGCAGACCAAACGGGCCTCCGCTAAATTTGCTCGTTTCCGTGCGAGCAGAGTGGGCGCAGTCCAAACGCGCCTCCGCTAGATTTGCTTGTTTTGGATGGTTCCCGTTTCCGTGCGGGCAGAGTGGGTGGCCCGCGGCATCGACCTCGCGCCCGGATCTCTTGTGTTGAAATTTGGCCCAAATTGAGCTGAAAGAAAGGCATCAAAGCAAGAGAGAGGCCGTGGCTTCCGTCCAATGTCCCGATGTTGGCATTGGGCGGAAGTTACAAACAATCTTCGGAAGGGAAATCCACTCCCTATGCCACCCATAGCGAATACACACACACGCATACACATTAGGCTTGGTGGATCGTGTTCGTTAGTTTCTAAAGTCGTTATGAATTCGTATTTAAATTAGCTTCGATCCAGTATCGAGCCATGCAGGAGTAGTGTGAGGAGTAATTAAGAATCGAAACAATTTCCCCATTTTTCGTAATTATTTTCGAAAAATAATTACGAAAGTTTTTTTTTCAGTTTTTTTTTCGCGTATTGCGCAATCGCGTCCGCCATTAACGAATCGATTCGTATATTTACGAAATTTCGTAAATATCGAAATTTTGAAATTTGAAATTTCGGAAATCCTCTCAGATTAGAAACGCGGGCGCCCCCTAGATACGAAACGAGTTTAGAACCAATTTTTTTCTTGATCAACCAAGCCTAGAATATGTATATTATGCTTGTTTGATCAAGAAAAAAATTGGTTCTAAACTAGCTTTGTTTCCAGGGGGCGCCAGCGTTTCGAATTTCTGAGGACTTCCGAAATTTAAGATCTCAAAATTTCGAAATTTCCGAAATTTCGTTAATTACGAATTGATTCGTTAATGGCAGACGCGATTGCGCAATGCGCTAAAAACACCTCCAAACGGGACAGGGGGAATTTCTGAAATTCAGGATGAAATTAAAATACATTAAGTTAGTAAAAATACAAATTAAAATAAAATAATAAAATAATAAAATAATAAAATATTTAATAAAATAATAAAATAATAAAATAAAATAAGTAATAAGATAATAAAATATCTCCAGGAGGAGGAGGAGGATGGGGAGGAAAGGCAACGCTGGCACCTTTTCTCTCCTTTCCCGTCTTAATAATTACGATATAATCACGAAATAATTTCGAAAATTTGGAAAAATTGTTTCGATTCTTAATTACTCTTCACACTATTCCTGCATGGCTCGATATTGGATCGTAAGCTAATTTAAATACGAATTAATAACGACTTTAGAAACTAACGAACACGATCAAACAAGCCTAATGTATATGTATATGGCTGGAGGTATAGTTAAAACTACATACATATTGGACTTAAGCACACAAATTTGGACACAATAACACCTCACAATAATGACCATCACTCATAAAAACACAGCGAAAGAGACTTAAAATACCAAAAAAGAAAAAATACATTACGACGCATGCGCAGCCCCCCATATATATATATATATACACACATACACACACACACTTAAGAAACCAAAAAATAAAAAATTCATTATTACGCATTTGCAAACCCCACATACACACACACACATATATATATACGCAAACACACATACATACACAAATATATATACACACACATATACACACACAAAGCACATATACACAGACCAGGCCACAGTAGTGCGTGGCAGAGGACGGCTAGTGTTGTAATATAATATATTATGAAATAAGACCATAAGTATATAATAACTAATAATAATATTATAATATAATAATTATAATATATTGTGAAACAATACCATAGGTATAATAATATATAATATATACTATTATTAATGTAATATAATATATTATGAAATAAGACCATAGGTATTGTAATATAAAATTAATATAAAATATATAATATTAATAGTGTAATAAAATATATTATGAAATAAGACCATATGTATAATAATATCTAATAACAATATAATATATAATATTAATAATGTAATATATGTTATGAAATAATACCATCACTATAATAATATAATAATATATACTATTATTAATGTAATATAATATATTATGAAATAAGACCATAGGTATTGTAATATAAAATTAATATAAAATATAAAATATAATATTAATAGTGTAATAAAATATATTATGAAATAAGACCATAGGTATAGTAATATATAATTATAATATTAATAATGAATATAATGTATTATGA